TACCCAATATGAAGCAGAGGATGCTGTGGGAGGGATGGTTGGTGTCAGAAGAGGGGAAAAAAAGATGAAGGGTGGAGGTATGTTTGAGCTCTGCCTCATAGGAATTGGCCTTGGGCTGTTTCCTCCCCTCTTGTGAAGCCAGAGGAAGTCAGACATGGCCCCATGCTGTTTTGCACCACCACATATCAAGGTTTCTCTTTGTCAAATATTTTATTGTGTTTTCAGTGCCAGTTTACACAACAAATTATGTTACTATTTGACAGGTTCTATACTAACTGTATTCTGGTAGCTCTGTTTCCAGCACTCTAGTTTCCTTATATCTATAGCTCATCTTTGCTTTGGTGTAACTATAGACCTTTTGGTCTCATAAGTTGGTATTGGTTAGTGGAGGGTTTTTTTCCCAATTGTTTTCCTCAGATGGAGTCCTTGAGTAATAAATATACTTTTTGGGTTCTTTAATTTCCTTGAACATGTTATAAACTATTATATTCCCTAATATAAAGTAAGTATTTCATTAGGGAATTTCTCATGTAAATAATGTATTTCATGAAAATTTCTCTAAATAATCCCAGTCTTTGGGTAGAAAAGAACAACTACATGCTGTGTAGTTATCTAATTCATATAAACAATTTGGTAACAGCAGTAAGGATGTTATAATACTGAAAGGTCATTTTTAAAGTTTTTACTTAGTTATAAACCAAATACCTGTTGTCTGATTAAATGACAAAGTTAAAGTAATCTAAAATTACATATATAATAAAAGGGAAAACTTGCTAAAGTTTGATAAACCTGTATAGATCACTGCTGTAAAATAAGCACTCAATCATAAAGTTGGTTTCAACCACAAGATCGGGGGTTCAAACTCACGAACTGCTCCTCAGGAACCCTTTACAGGGTTGCTGAGGGTCAGAACTGACTCAACAGCACTTAACAACAAGAAGTCCATAGGAGTCGTGGTGTGGTACTGTATACGATAAAGCATTGAACCACAAGGTCAGCGGTTCAACATTACCAGCCATTCCTCAGAAACTCTGAGTCAGAACCAACTCAGCAGCACATAACACCAATACAATTACGTTGTAGTAAAATGGTTTTTCACTTTTGTTACTTGTTGTTGAGTTCCAGTGAGTTGTTTCCAACTTGTAATGACCCAGTATAGGGTTTCCAAGGAGTGGCTGATGAGTTTGACCCGTCAACCATTGCAGTCTGCAGTATAGTGCTTAACGAGCGGCATCACACCAGGATGATGTGGTGCTGCTGGGTTCAATGATTCCTAAAATCACTGTATATGTATTATCTTCGTGGGAGTCCTAGTGTGGCACTGTAGGATAAACACTCAACCACAAGATTAGTTTTAACCGCAAGTCATTAATTCAAACTCAACATCTGCACCTTGGAAACCCTATACAGGGCCACTATGAGTGGAACTGGTTCAAGACAGCACTTAACAACAGCAACATTATCTTCTTTGGGATTCTACTTGTTGAAGTTTCTCCAGAAATTTTGCACTCATGTTCATTGAATATTATTGGGCTGTAGTTTTTGGTTTGTTTTTTCCTTTTATAACTCTGGTTTTAGTTAGTAATTCTGGCCTTAGAGAACTAGTTGGCAAACATTTATTTTTAATTTTTGGAGGTGTTTATATAGTTATTTGTATTATTTGTTAACTGTCTTCCAAATTAATCATTGAAGACACCTGGGCCTGTTGTTTTGTTAGAAGATTTTTAGTTACTAATTCAGATTTTAAAGTAAATATAAGGCTATTAAGATGATTTCTTGAGTGAGCTATGAGTATGTCCTTAAGAAATTTATCCATTTTATTTAGTTGTTGAATTTATTGGCATAAATTTATTCAAAATATTCTTTTATATTTTTAAAATTTGGAAGTTCTATGTGACTTTTTTCAGTCCTGGTGCTGGTCATTTATGTCTTAATTTTTTTTTTTTATCAGTTTTATTGTTCTAGGGATTTATCAGTTTTATTGTTCTTCTCTCTAAGGACGTGAATACAATGAAAGAAAGAGCCACATAAAGATCTGAGGGATGGTGAGGGAACGATACAGTCTCTGAGAAGAAAAATAACTTGACATTTACAAAGAGAATAAACTATAAGAGGCCAAGAATGGAACCAGGGAGGTAGTTGTAATAATTTAAGTTATAGCAAGATAATGATGTCTTGAACTACTTTGGTGGCTAATGAGGTGATGACAGATGTCAAATTCAGCATGTATTACGAAGGTAGAGCCAGTAGAACTTACTGATGGCTTACACATGGAGTGATGACGAGAAGAATCGTGAGTGGTGCTCTCAGGCCTGACCAATGCGGTGAATGGTGGTGGCATCATGAATTAGGAAATTGGGAGTATGTGTGGGCTGTTGAGCAAAGAATTGGGATGGAGGAGAGACAGCATAGGTTGATTTAAACCTTAACATTCTGGATGATTAATTTACGTAGTACTTTTTTCTGTTGTATATATTTTATATGTTTGCTTGTATTTTCCAGGATATTCATTCTTTGCTTTGTAAAAATTGTTTTATCTTATAAAGCCACTATGTGGGAAATAATTCAAGGTAGATAGGTAATGCTTTACAACTACCTTGTTAAGTGCTGTTGAGTCAGTTTTGACTTACAGCAACTCTGCATAGGGTTTTTAAGACTGTCTTTGCAGAAACAGCCTCATCTTTCTCCTACAGAACAACTTGTGGTTAGTAGTGCAGTGCTTTTCCTACAAAATTACTGTGCTCCCCTTAAAGATGCCTAATGTATTTAAAATCAAACATTTAAATTGTAATATACTAGGAAATCTTCAATGTCACGGAATTATACTTGTAAATACGGTTGAGTTGGTATATGGCTTGCTGTGTATATTCTCAACAACAAGATAAAAAGTTGTGATATAAGAGTACTAGGAAATAGAAGAAGCAGATATTTGTGTGAGTCTTCTTGTGCTAAAGATTTTGGTGTAGAGTGACCAGATTTAGGATGTACTTTATGTTAACAAGCCTTGTAGAGAAATTGTTAAAGGGGAGTAACGAACATGTGCTCCCTTAGTGAGAGAACACTAGATTTTGAAATTGTTGAATTTGTTATTTCCTTGGGTTCTTTGTCTATAAGTCAGATATTGGGGATGACTTAATGACTTAGGAAGATGGGACCCAGCATCCCAGACCTCCTTTAAAACAGACCAAGATTTGTCCCACTAGAATCTTCCTGGTGTTCTTTGGTGTGTTAGTGAAAACTGTGTGTCACCTTGGTCAGACTATGATTCTCAGTGGTTTCGCAGTTATTATGGAAACCCCCTCATAGGTAGGTAGGTGGATGCATGGATGGATGATCTGATAAAGCTTGCCCTCTTTTGGTCCTGCATCCAACTCAGCATCCACTGACCTTTGATTCCTGGCATGTGAGCCAGCAGCCTGCCATCAAACCTTCAAAATTTGCCAGTTCCTAAAGTCCCAGGTTAACGAATCGGGCTGCTAACTTTAAGGTCGCCACTTTGAAACTAACAGCTGTTCTGCAGGAGAAAGATGAGGATTTCTACTTCCATAAGGATTTGCAGCCTTGGAAACCCTGTGCAGGGTCACTATGAGTCGGAACCGACTCCACGGTACTTAACAACAACAAAGTCCCATGAGCCAGGTACCTGCTGTCTGACCTGTTGGTTATGGTTTCATCGGCTCCTGAAATCACATGAGTCAGGAGAAGCCTCCAGCCTGATGCTTGACCCACAGATTTGGGACTTGCCAGTCTCCACAACTATGTAAGCTATGTCCTTGAAATAAATCTATCTGTATATGTGTATGCATGTGTGTGTGTGTGTGTGTGTGTGTATGTGTGTATATATATATACACACACACACACACATGCACACACACGCAGTGCCCAAGTGTGGCACTGAGGGTTAAATACACTGGACTGCAATGTCTGTTTGAGCTTCAAGGTTAGCAGTTCAAGCTCACCAGCTGCTACTAGGAAACCCTATACAGGGTCGCTGTGAGTCGGAACTGACTCGATGGCACTAACAACACCTCTCTCTCTAAATGTGTGTGTTGTTGTTGTTAAATTCCATCGAGTCGGTTCTGACGCATAGCAACCCTGAACAGGGTTTCCGAGGGTGTAAATCTTTATGAGAGCAGAAAGCCTCATCTTTCTCCCGCGGAGCAGCTGGTAGTTTCGAACTGCTGACCTTGAGGTTCGCAGCCCGATTCATAACCACTACGCTACCAGAGCTCCTTGAATGTGTGTGTGTGTGTATGTTTATGTATATATATACACATATACATACTCGGAAACCTTACACAGGGTCGCCATGAGTGGGAACCGATTCCACAGCACACAATCACCACCGTACTTATATACTATATATATATATATATATAGTTCTTTTGCTCCTAGAGAACCTAGCCTAAGACATTTGCAGTATTTCCAGAAGCTGACAATATTAGAATTATTAAACTATGGGGCTCATCTCTTTCTTGACTGAGAGTAAGATTCCTAGTCATGGTAAAATTTTTCAGTCCCAGCCTAAAGTAGAGTTATACTACATTAAAAAACAAAACAAGAAAGCTTTGCATTTCCTTTTTTTTTTTTTTTAATGTTCAAGATTGTGCTAAATGTAATAAACATGAGCAAATCCTGTGAGAATAGGGGCATTATTTGTGTTATTTAGTATTTTTAGCAAACGTGTAATGTTCATACTTTGATAATTTTTAAGTGAATATGAAAATAACACTTCAAATGAAAACGTTGTCATTCTAGTGAGTTTTGTTTTTACGATTTCTTCACTAGAGGGCGCTGTGTACGCATTCAATACATTCAAATGTCAGCTCACTTTTACTTATTTGCTGGGAGATTGAGTTTTTAAATCACCTGATTTATTACAAGTTTTCATTGTTGTCAAAGCAAAACAGATGGTAATGTATATGGATAAATTAATGAAATTGAGCAGTTGTTAATGGCAGTATTAACACCAATTCTTCCTTTCCCCCCTCTTTCTCAGGAGATTAATGACTCCAGTCATGTATGCTGCACGAGCTGGTCACCCTCAGGTGGTTGCTCTTCTTGTTGCTCATGGAGCAGAAATTAATACCCAGGATGAGAACGGTTATACTGTGAGAATCACTTTTACTATGTTATTTTTTATTTCTATGACTGATATCAGTGATCCACAAAATGAGTTTTAAGTAGTAATAACTATAGAAAGATGAATATAATTTTTTCTTCCTTCGGTGAAGAAAAGTTCAGCTGAAATAGAAGAAAATAATTATTTGATTCTGTTGTTATCACTCCTGAAAAAAGAAGTTATAACTACAAAGAATTCAAATACACTTAAGAATTCTTTTGTTGTAGAAAAACCTCCTTGATTAGTACAGCACCATTTTACTGTGTAAAAGCACTGGCAGACTGCTTTTGCAATTAAACCTTTGAAACATTGTAAAATGAATAGACTCCATCATTCTGTTGATTAGCCATCTTCAGTTTTTTATTATTCTGTAGATGCAGTTGAAAACTCTGTATTATGCATATTTTTCTTATGCAATAAATATCCTCCCTCCACTCTGTTGCACAGGCTTTAACATGGGCAGCACATCAGGGTCATAAAAATGTTATTTTGAAATTGCTTGAACTTGGAGCTAATAAAACGCTACAAACCAGTGATGGAAAGACACCAAGTGAGATTGCAAATAGAAATAAACATCTAGAGGTATTTTCCTATATATTTTTCTATGGCATATTGACATTATCATTTGTAGCACTTCTGTATTATTTTGTTAGAACTCACAGTGAAATAATATTTAAATTATATGCAGTATTTTTTTCTCTAACCAGATCATGGAAATTTTGTTTTTTATGGTATTCACCCTTTATTAAATAAGCAGGCATAATATAGTCCTAGAATTAAAATTGTTATACACTATTTATTGAAACATTTGAAACTGGTCTCAATTTTTAAATATGAATGTATTGAAAAACCTAGTGAGATGTCAAAATTTGAACATGTAATTGAAGTACTGTTTTGTCATTTAATTCATAGGTATAAAACAAGTTAAAAATTAAATTCTTTAAGCAATACGACACACACACACACACATATATATATATATATATTACAAAGCAAATAGTTGCGTAATCAGCGAATTTGGTATATGAATTACTGTCGTTCAGATGTTAAGAGTCAATAGTAAATATTTACCATATGTTAGACTGCTGATATAGACAGTCTGAACTTTAAAGCTTTTGGTCAAAGGTCTATAATTTGTAATCTAAGATCAAATGGAGTATAATCTTAAATAATCAAGTTATGTTAAAGAGACTGCAATTAATGTCACAAAACAAAAAAATGTAGAAATATTTAAAAGGAAATGTTCTGTAAACTTTTACTCAAACCACAATTTTTTTTAAGAAAAAAAAAAGCTTAAGATTTTTTAAAAAGCTTAACTTTTTAAAACTGAGTTTCCTAATTTGAAATGACTTTCCAAAGGTGTCCTCATACAATCATTAGTTTCCACCACTCAACACTGTGTGAAAAACTTTAAAGCGGTCTGATAAATCTATCAACCATTTTCCAAATAAAAGCTACATTTCTAAAATTATTCTAGAGTAAATGTTATTGATGTTCTGTGACACTTCTACATGAAATATGCAGTTTTTCTTTTAAAATTAGAAAACTTCCATTTGGTTTACTACATTAATAAATTTAGGGTTGATGACCCCAAATTTGACTATAGCATGAAGTTTGTGAATATCAAAGGTTAAATGTTGTAAGTCATCATTCACTTCTTTAAGTGAGATTTGATCTTGGATGTTGGCTAATTACATTTCCATGTTTTTAATGTGACATACTGTGACCTCCTAAGCAGTTAATTTTTAAATTAAGAAATTTCATCGCACATCTCTTTGAGTTGTAGAATTGCAATATGTATACATTTAGTCATGCTTACTACTTCCTTCCCATTTAACGTGTATCTGTCTCTTAAGAACACTTAATGTTTAATCTTTTTGAGTCACTTGTCAAAATGGAACTTATTTTTGTTATATAGCTCTTGATAATATTGTTATAATTGTTATTTTCCTTTATTACTGTTATGAATTAAATGTTCTTTTTTCTTATTACTTTAGGAAGTATTTATTTGGTTTTATAGAAGTTGTTCTCAGGGTATTAAGTTGTAAAGGTATATTTATTATCCCTCTCATCTTGAAAATTTTCCTTTTTAGGAAAAAAAGATACCTTTCTTGATATAAAACATTCATATGTTCAGTTTCTTTTAAGTAGACATGATAGTACATAATAATAATAACTACTTGAATGACTTGCTCAATTTTTCAGATCTTCAGGTTACTTTCTTTGACATTAAATCCTTTGGAAGGAAAGCTTCAACAAGTAACTAAAGAAGAGACTATTTGTAAACTGTTTACAACAGATTCTGATAAAGAAAAAGATAGTATATTTAGGTAACATGACATGTTTTATTTCAAACCAGTACCTACAAATGAGTAAAATTTGTGCATGCTTTTATTACTTGTGGTAAATGTGGGGCTAGTCACTTAAAATCTGTATTTTTGACTTACAATCTTTTTTTTTTTTTGCTTAGAAATGTTAGGATTTTAAGTGCTCTATTCTATAGAACATTAAGAGGTTATATCTATGGGTAGCAATACTAAATACTTTTGGCTTTAAATGTAAACTTTAATGAAACTATATTAACACTAAAACTCATTTTTGAATGGTTGTAAGGTTTACTTAGGTTAGTGTTCAAACTGTACTACGCCTTCCTTTCTCATTCTTTTTAGCATACTTCTGATTTTATATACTAAAGTGAAAAATAATGTATCCTTCCCTGAATACAATGGTGCATTTTGCAACCACAAAACTATTCTATATTTACCCATATTTAAAATGGTAATTTATTTTTTACTTACTGTAGAATTAAATAACTTGAATTGTGTGTAGATTATCCAACAAAGAGTGGTAAATATTCATGGGAAAGATAAGCTCTATTTTATCATCATTTTCTGTTATATCGTCATTCAAGAAACCTTGGTCATTCTTTTGATATAGCATAAACGTCATGTATAATGGTATTGTGCATGAAATTATTCTTAGACTCACTCTTATTCCTTTTCTGAAATCTGTATATACCTGTGTATATCTACATAATGTTCTGGTCTCAGATTGACATTACTGTAAATATTCATAGTTCATATGCAGCGTTTGGAGAGTTGGACATATTTTTACATGGTCTTGGACTAGAACATATGACAGATTTATTAAAGGTAAGATTTCCATTTGCTAACTTACAGTTAAGTTAATATACTTAATTATTTGGGTATGACATTCTATTTTAATTCATAAGCTTATGGAGAAATGCCAGTTGCACTTCCTCTCATTTATGTTACACCTCATTTTAATTACATAGTGAGCGTTTCTAGATTTGTTTCCAAAATTTGCATATATTTAAAATATGATTTTAGGAACCCTGGTGATACAATGGCTAAGTGCTTAGCTGCTGACATTGGTTCAAATCCACTAGCTGCTCAGTGGGGGAAAGCTGTGGTAGTCTGCTTTTGTAAAGATTGTTGTTGTGATGCTGTAACATGTTGTTGTTGTGCTGTAAATTCAGTTCTGACTCATCATGACCCCGCGTAGCATTTCCGAGTTGCGCCTGATGAGTTTGAGCTGCCTGCTTTGAGGTTCAATCTGACCTTTCAGTCATTGCCTATGTACAGCGTCACTGGCCTCCTTACAGCCTTGGAACCCCCTCGGGTAGCTCGGCTCGGGCCACTATGAGTTGGAAGGGACTATATGGCAGTGGGTTTGTAAACAATTTTATTCAATGTAAGATAAGCACTGAACTAGAAATCAAATGATGTGTGCTCTAAACACACCAGCAGCGCCTCAGAAACCATGTATAGGGTCGCTTTGATTCAGAATCGACTTGTCAGAACCTAACGACAACAGCCTAATAATTCACAGAATTCCATTCATGTTATGTGTAAGTGGCTTGTGGGTTTGAACTGCCCCAGCCCTTCAATTAGCGTTCCATTGCTTATCTTATAGTACCACATTAGACCCCACATTCTGTTGATGCCCTTCTAAATAACCCAAATTGAGATGCATTGTGTAATCTTGAAACTTCTTTCTATCTGAGAAATATTAAGTATAAATATTATTAATGGTTTGATTTGATAAAATTAGAAATTTAAAATGTTTATAGAACATTATTTTATCAAACTGTTTTTCGTTTTTACGTAAGCAATTACATATTATAATTATTTTCTTTGAATCTAGAAAACTAGCTATATTTCTATTTTTGTTGTTAAGTGCCTTCAAGTCAGATTCAACCCATAGCAACCCTATATAAGGTTTCTGAGGTGTTTTCAAATCTTTGTAGATGTGGAAAACCTCCTTTTCCACATGTAGCGGCTGGTGGGCCTAAACCTTGTGGCTTGCAGTCCATTGCTTATCGTTGTTGTTGTTAAGTACCGTGAAGTTGGTTCCGACTCATAGTGACCCTGCACAGGGTTTCCAAGGCTGTAAATCCTTACGAGAGCAGAACGCCTCATCTTTCTCCCATGGCACAGCTGGTAGTTTCGAACTGCCGATCTTGAGGTTAGTAGCCCGATTCGTAACCACCACAGGTGAATCTATATATAGTAACTTTTATTGCGGTTACCCAACAGTATAGTTAGGTCCTAACCCCTCTATGGAGTTAAAAGTTGAGAAGTTGAGTGTATATAACTGACTTTCTGTTACTTTATTAATACTGAAATATACTGTTTTTCCTCTTCTGCAGGAAAAAGATATATCGTTAAGACACCTTATGACCATGAGAAAAGATGAATTTTTAAAGGTTAGTATCAATTTCAAAATTTTCATACATACTCTTTTAGGAGTCTTTCTGCTCTCATAAAGATTTACAGCTTCGGAAACCCTGTACAAGGTCACTGTGAGTCAGAACCGAGTCATCGGCATACCACTACCACCAACACCACCATTCTAGTTGTGGGTGCTTATACTTTCTTATTTAAAAATTCCTTGAGCCACAAACTGATTATCTTTCACTACATTCTTGATTAAAAATTAAAATCCCACTGCCATCAAATCCATTCCAACTCATAGTGATCCTGTATAAGGTTTCAGAAAATGGACATTTTTACTGGAGTGGACAGCCTCCTCTTTCTTCTGTACAGTGGCTGGTGGATTTTAACTGCCAACCTTGTGGTTAGCAGCGCAGCATCTAACCCACAGTGCCAGATTTTGATTATGGATTCGAAATCAAAACAGCTATTGTTAAATTTGGAACTGAACGAGGTGCGAGAACTGCGCAGACCTGGTGGAGGTATTAAATGAAACCCAGATCACGGAGCGGTGGGGTGAGAGGTGTCTGGAGCCCAGGTCGATGGGGGAGGGGGGAACGCTGCCTAGTGGGAAGAGACTGCAGCGGCCAGTCAGGCTGTCCTACTTACCCTGGACGCAAGGGCGCTGTCCCGGCCTAGCCCTTGGATCGTAACTTTGAGGCGGGCTCGACCAACTTAGAGACCCATAAGCGCAGCCCAAAGCGTCTCATTACAACCCTGTCGCACCTGCTGCGCTTCCA